AGTTTTGAAGCTCAGATTTGGGAGCTCAAGTTGGCGGCCTGGGCGTTTTTGAACGGCTATGATTTTGAGGCGTGGGTTCTTGCTCTTGTTTCCATCTCTCGTTCCACGGCTGGGATCGCGCGGGAAAAACTGGATTTAGATCGCGCTGCCCTGCTTGAACGCATGTCCAATGAGAAGGCTGACGCCGCGGAAGATTGTAACCCGCACCGGGAGGCCAGATTTGCCAACAATTTGCAGGCCTTCGGAGGACGCAAGATGAAGCTCGCCACGGGAGCACTACCGATTCGGCATGGACAGGACGGGACGCCCCTACAACCGAAGATGGAAGTGGCCAACTCTGTCCAAGAATACTTCGCCACCATAGAGGGAGGAACGATTGTGACCCCGACCCAGATGTGTGCGAGGTATAGCCAAGCTAACCGCCGTTCCGACCCCTGCCTGGAATGCCCCGTTGAAAACTTGATGCCTAGGGATGAGTTGAGGTTTTCTTTCGCCAAAGCGAGCAAAGGCAAAGCGGGGGGCCCAGATGAGATGATTGAGGAGCTCTTCAGATGTGTTCCTGATGAAACTGCTCGGTTACTTCACCTTGTTGCGCTCAAGTCAGCGGCGTACGCTCAGGAACCATTGGCCTTCAAGGGGGGATGTGCCCACGACCTCTACAGAAATTCTGGGGCTGCCGCCGAGAACACGAGCTACCGACATATTCTCCTTATGAACAACGTTGCCAAGTATCACCATAAGTACATGCGAGGTCAGTTACAAAAGTTTGTTGCCAGTTTGCTCTTGGAGACCCAGATGGGGGGGGGGTTCCAGGGAGAGGCACTGACATGGCCACCCACATGGTCCGTACCTTTTCGGAGGTTACCAGGCAAAAGAGCCTCTCGTCTGTTATCGCTTCTGTTGACTTGAAGTTTGCTCTCTACAAGGTGATGCGCGCTTTGGTGATGCCACACTTGAATGATCCCCTGGACTTGGCTGACGCCATAGATGCCGCCGAGATCCCCGAAGTTTTGATCCCCAGCCTTGGGCGCGCGATGGCCCAACCGGCAGTCCTCGACGGACTTGACAATGAGCACCTCTTGAAGATGCTCGCTGATACTCACGCGAGCACTTGGTTCAAAACCAAAGGGCCCCTGGGCGTGCTTAGGGCGGTCTCAGGGAGCCGGCCTGGGAGTTCCCCCGCGGACCTTGTTTTCAACTTGTTGTTTGTGCCTATCGTCAAGAAAATCCTTACTGAGTTGGATCTCCATGGGTATCTTCTCAAACAGGAGGCTCCAAAAACAAACTTTTTTCCGTCCCTGGTGACACAGACATCGACTGCCTGGCCGACAGCACGTTTGTGGATGACCTCGGAGTTATGGCAGTGGCGCGCAGGGCGGATGACCTTCGCGAGATGATTTCCACCACAGTTGCCATCATCAGCGAGATCAATGCTAGGCATGGGATGATTGTAAATTTTAAGAAAGGCAAGTCCGCCCTCCTTGTCCAACCCAGAGGGGAAGGACCAAGAAAGATCCGAGCCGAGCTTTTTCCGACGGCCGACCCTCTCTACGAAACCTTGGACGGCGCACGTACATATACCTAGGGACCATGGTGACCCAGAACGGAGGCCTGGGCCCTGAGTTGGCCCATCGGAGGATTCAGCAGAAGGCTGGGGCAGGACCCCTGCGCCGCGCCGTGTTGATGGCCAAGAGACTCAGCCACGCAACCAAGTGTAAGTATGTTGATTCCTTCTGCACCTCCCGACTCATTTACAATGGACATGTCTGGGGATAACTATCGAAGGCTGAAGTTGAAGCGATGATAGCTGCGCATCTCGCTCCCTTTCGGACTGTCTTGGGAATGCGCTTAGGGCGACCTGATCAACCCCATGTTGTTAATGAGCAGATTATGATGGACACGGGTAGGATGCCCGTTCCCTGTGCTCAGTCTCATGAGATTGAGATATGTTTTTGCATTGGTGACATCTGCCCCCCCCCCCCCCTTCAGCTTCGGCAGCTCCTTGACATGGAGAACTGTGCCAACAAGTCGTGGGGCGGCACTCTTCGGGAATATCTGGATTGGTTGCAGAGATTTCACGATTTTGAAGAAGGGCATACCCTCGCGGCTCGGGAAATTCTGCTCCGAGCTGCTGACAACCCACCCCAATGGAATAACATTGTTCGCAAGGCTGCACAGGCTTACAAGAGGTGGCACGCCGACCAGTTGCGCCTCAAATTATGGAGAAAGGATATATATATATATATATATATATATGTATATAATACCTGTAAGGCTGCCGCCCCCCCCCCCCCCCCCCCTGGCATAGTTGAGGAGGCGCCCAGAGAGCAGCGGTACGTGTGTGAGGCGTGCGGCTATGTGTGATTTCACCCAGGAGCCACGCGTGGCCATGATACTAAGAAGCACAAGGACAATGCTGGCAGATTGGCCAAGAGTTATGTGTGTCTTGTGCGCTGTAAAGACTTTCACACCAGACCCAGGTTGCTGAGACACTTGGGGTCTGCTGGCGCTGGATGCCTCTAGGTTTGGAGCCTTGCTGAGGAACCAATGCCCGATGGATTGTACGAAACCCTTCGTACTGATGACACGAACCAGGCGGCGGCGCTCAATATTCGAGGCTTGGGAGCGACTGGGGCTGAGGTCCCCGTTGGATCCGTCCCTGGGGAGGGGCTCTCGCGGGCCGCTGGGGTTGGGGGCTCTTCTCCTCCCCCTCCTCCCCCGCCAGGTTTCAGAGTAGAAGAATTACAACGTCCAGATGGCGCTAGCTTTAGACCAGCTGAGAACCCGCGACGTATAGAGCCCAGCGAGACCCGCTATGTGCTCCATCTTTTCAGTGGCCAGAGGCGGCGCGACGATTTCCAGGATTGCTTTGAATGGTTTCAGAAGCCAGGCCTAGATGCAGGACCTGTGTTAGTTCTCTCTATCGACAAAGTAAGCGAATCAGCACGAGAGAGACTGACTAGCATGTTTTTGTGATGCCCATGCCATCGGTGTTATAGTATGCCCACCGAGCGAGACATGGTCGACAGTTCGGAGCGTGGAACCTCCAGAGGGTCAGACTACCAGGACCCTCCGCTCAATACAGTGTCTATGGGGAAGACCACTAGCCACCGCAAAGGAATGGCGACAGATTTCTACAGCCAATGCTATGTACCGAATTGCCGTATATTGCATGTACGTCAGTCTTGCCACGGGTGCCTGTGGAATACTAGAGCACCCAGCTGTACCTTTCAACGAGGAAGCTCCGAGTGCATGTTTTCTTAAGGAAACCGTGCACATGCGAGCTCTCAAGGAACAAGGGTACAATGCTGACATGATCAGAATAGACCATTGTTCCTTCGGTTCGCATATGACGAAACCGACACAGCTTCTGACGATAATCATTCCTAGTCTAGGCCAAGAAATCGAGCAGATGTCCCGACGAGGTCGATGTTGCAATTTCACAGGACATGACATCGTGCCAGGGCAACTCGATGGCGGCCGCAGGAAGACACAGCAGGCCAAACAGTATCCAGCTGAGCTATGTACAAGTTTGGCTCGGCATTTCGCCATTGCGTGTCGTCAGAAGCTGAGAGAGGGGGGTGGGGTCTGCGAACCTGATGCCGCCAATATGACCCACCACCCCCTTTCGACCCCGAACTTGCGCGTTTCGTTTGCCCCCCTGGACCCGTACCTCGTCGCCCCTTTGACTACGAGGAGTACGGACAGGATCATAGTGGCAGGTGACCAGCATGTTCGTGAATTTGTATATGCAGCCTGCGGATCATCCCCCCTTTATGGCCATGGAGCAGCAATAAAAGGAGGAGGAAGAGGAGGAGGAGGAGGAGGAGGAGGAGGAGGGAGGAGGGAGGAGGAGGAGGAGGAGGTGGAGGAGGAGGAGGAGGAGGAGGAGGGCTAAGAGCGGCGTTCTTTCCAGCCATCAGGAACCAATAGTCAGGAGGAGGAGGAGGAACAGGAGGAGGAAAGATATAGCGCAGTGATGGCACGTGAGGAAAGGCAAGTGGATGTACCACAGGACCCGCATCGTTCCTCGAGATCGCTCGGCGCGGCAATCAAGTGCAGGAAGAGAAGGAGAAGGATGAGGAGGAAGAGGACGATGACGACGACGAGGACGAGGATGAAGACGAGCAACGTCGCCAGAAATTAGGGCGCTCAAGAGGGGCGTCCTCCCAGGGACTGCATACCATGATCGGTCCCTCGGTTTCCCAGCCTGCCTTGGGTCGAAGACTGCGGGCTGCAAGGGCACAATCGGTCTTTTCTGCAGTGCGTTGTGCGTGTTTGACGCGTTGCTTATCGAGTCATCGGGTAACCGACGTTGACGACGACGACGACGACGACGACGACGACGACGACGACGACGACGACGACGACGACGACGACGACGACGGCGACGGCGACGGCGACGGCGACGGCGACGGCGACGGCGACGGCGACGAGAACAACGAGGAGGGCGCGGACGACGACTGCGACAACGAGAACGCGGACGACGGCGAGAGCGAGGGCGAAGGCGGGGAGGGCGAGGATGAGGGCAGGGGCCGCGGGCGGAGGCGAGAGGTATCAGGGAGGACGTGGGCGGCGAGGACGGGGGCAGAGGGAGGATGACGACGAGGACCAAGGATGACGAGGAGAGGTGCCACCGCTCGGCGGCGGCCGCCGCGCTGGCAGCCGAGTTAGCAGGCCAGCCCGCCCGGGCGGCGCGGGCAGGGCGCGGGTGCGGCGTGGTCGCGGTCGGTTAACTGCGGGGTCGTCTCGATGCTGGAGGTGGTCATCAAGCAGTGGCGAAGCGTCCTGGCTCGCCTGTAGCCCTACCAAGCAATGTTCTAAGAACCTGTCATGGTTCCCACGAAATGTTCTGAGAACAAGTCAGGTTGAGACTGTCTTGGTTTATCACATCGGGTTTATGTTCTAAGAACATTGGTTTTGTTATAAGAAATGTTTGGGGTTCTACGAACATTTCGTGGCAGGACTATCGGAATGCCGGGACGGTCGGTCCCTGCTCAAGATCAGGGGTGGCGGCAGCGTCTTTCATCTTGACCTCCTGTGATGCCCCAGCGGGGTGCAGGAGGAGGGCGTCCCGAGGCGTCCCGGCGCCGCCCGCACAGCTTGGAAAACAAATCAAGCCAGGGATGTCCGCAAGCCAGCATGCGGTGGCTTGCGGGAGCTTGCGGACGCTTCTGGGTGCCTTGCAGGAGCCTTCGAGGATCATGATGACGAGGAGGGGGACGAGCATGAGCGGTGGTAGAGAAGGAGGAGGAGGAAGAGGAGGAGGAGGAAGATGATGATGAGGAGGAGGAGGAGAACAGGAAGGGCGAGCACGGGCGGTAGCGGGATGGGGAGGAGGATCAGAAGTTCACGAGGGAGGGAAGAGGAGGAGAGGGAGGAGGAAGAGGAGGAGGAGGAGGAGGAGGAGGAGGAGGAGCAGCACTACCAATGCGATACGAGAGCTCAAGGCACGTGACCTCCTGATGTCGCTGGTACCCGAGAATGCGATGGAAGAGAATCCAGGAGCTTTTGGAGGAGGTATCTCAGAGAGCACGTATCTCGAAGACGGCACATTCGCTGATGACTGCGTGTACCCGACGGCGTGCCACAACAACTTGCAGATCATGCTTGTGTTTCCCATCACGAGCCACCATGAGCATCATCATACACAAAACTGTGCTGGTTTACGGCATGCAGCTCAACCACGCGGAAAGCAAAGCCATGCCGATTGTCATACCCCGTGGGACCGACCCGAAAGTGGCGCGACAGCAGGTGCAATAGTTGAAGCGGCCAGTGATTGTGACCAACGAGAACGCGCTCCGAGCTTATATAACAAATCAGTACAAACACATTTAGTCAGCATGCTATGCGGAGACGGGAACTCAGGACCTGAGATTGTTGGCCGCGTCTTGGCAGAGGCAGGTGCGTTGTTGGGAACCGTCACGCGAGCTGCCTCGAGGAGGACAACCATACACACTGATCAAGGTTGAATCGGTCGATTCCCTCGGCACTTCCGAGCTCCCCTTTGATGCTGAAGTCTGGGCTCACATGTATTTTGAATTGGAGCCTTTCAGCCAGCCAGTGGGATATATGTTCTCTGATCTCGCGAGGCCTTACAGTATGACTACGTGCAGGGCCCAAAAGAATAGATCACCGAAGAGGAAGTGCGGCTGCGAGCCAGGCCAAGTGACTCCAGAACATATCTGAGATATATACCATTAGGACATGTTGTGCGAGTTGTCACCGACGGACCATGGCAGCTGCGACATCTATTGGGCACCTTGTGTGATTACCTTCAGAGATATACAGGACAGCTACGCAATTAATTGACGTGGGTGCACACCATGCTGAACTACATGGATGAGACCAGCGGGGCAAGAGACGACCTGGAGTGGACTCACGTATTCAGGAACGGACCAGCGCAGGCCTTCACGGCGATCGAGGCAGCATGGCGGGCTTGCTCTCAAAGCATTCGAGGACGTGGCCAAGCTCAAGCTGTGGCAGCGAGAGGTAGCCATGCATGTCACGCAGATCGTCGGCACGAAGGTCCCGTGTGCTCCAGCTCGCCAGCGGAAGGCCTACTACCTGTGCTACGCATGTGGTGCGATTGGGGCGACTATTGGAGCTTGGCGCGGCCATGTGACGAAGGCCCATCGCAGTCTGGACGACGCTGAGTACCTGCTGGAGGGCTCCAGATGTGAGGCGTGCTCCTTGAATTTCTACACGGCGGCGCGTTGCCTCCGCCATGGCCGACATCGGCGGAACCCTTGTTTTTAGACCGTTCTCATCAGGACGCCTCGACTGAGCGAGGACAGGGCCAGAGAATTGCGAGCAGCTGACGCAACGGAGGCCCGCGAAGGCGCCCAGACTTCGCCGCAGCTCCCCCGGCGAGGTTCGATATGGGCCCCGCCTGCAGCCCCCCCGACACTGAGGACCTCGGAGGCGCGGTTGACCGGGAGCCCCCCCTCGCCCCGTTCGAGGCCCAGGAGGCCCCGCCGCCCGTGCCGCACACGACAGCTTCCCCCTCGCCCGCACAGCCTCTGCCCCCACCTCCTCTCGGGGCAGCGGCGGGCCGGCGACTTTTCCAGGATGCCTTCGGGGGGTGGGGAGGGGACTTCCTGTTGTCCGGGTCCCCAGCACAGGTGCAGGAAACGGTTCTTTGGCAGGCGACCCCAGGAGGTCCGAGGCCCGTGGATCCTGGATCTCCCTGGTTCGAAGTCGCACGGTCTGCGGAGTTCTGCGCGGGCCCCCGCGCGAAACATGGAGCGCGGCCCGCTGGAATTTCAGGAGGACGGGAAGGGCCCAAGACCAGTCAGAGAGGCAGACTGGTTGTGTTACCGTCTCGGACTTCCAGCCCGAGAGGCTGAGCAGGTGGCGATACGAAACGATTTAATGCGCACGTCCATCCCTGTTACTCTCAATGTGCTGGGCCTACAAGGTCCAGGCATTCTGGAGCACCCAGCCCGAGCTTGGTGGCAACCGCGTGCAGTGTCATGCTGGATGCTGCCGGAGATGTGGCTCCTGGCTTTCATGTATGGAATGGGTAAAGTCACACTCGACCAGTCAACCACAGGGGCCCACTCCCAGAAGCCAGCGACGTTCCTTTGCACCCACGCCTCAGCGGTGGCACGCCTGGTAGAAGAGCTCCCCGGGGGGGGGGGGGGGGGGCAGTTCCCGCATGCTGGACACACACCCTCAGAGCGCCGGCGAATACAGAACAACCAGGCTGAAAGAATCTCAGCCACGGTTGTGCCGCTTGCTTTCGGAGCCCATGTTTGGCAATGATGTCTTAGGAGATGCACAGAGGGCTCAAGGAGGCCGCGCCGCCGGATGATGTCGCCCAGTTTTCAGCCCTCTTGAGCCCTACCCAGTGGGTGAGAGACGTCACGACTGTAGCAGGTACTGAACTGCTCAGGGGTCTGCTGTTAGGGTATCCTCGAGCGGCCCCCTGTTGTCTGACGTCGGTATTAGAATTTGGCTTATCGCATTATTCATCCTGGGCCAGCAGTGTAGCTCGAGCAGGAGCAGCTCGCATTATCAGGGTTCATGATCGCGGGAGGTTGGATGTGGCGGGGGGGCGAAGGTTCTCTCCCGTGCGAAGAGCACGCTGCTCTCTGAGCGGCCATGTTCGGCCGTGCTTTAGGGCCGAAGTGTAGGTGAGGGCGCCCGCTGCACGGGGGGCGCAGGGGCAGAACCTCGACTGACGTGGCATGCCACCAGAGCCCCTAAGCTTACAGGGCGCAGGGGCTCCATGATTCTCTAAGCTGCGCAGGAGCAGCAGAACTCAGCAGCGGCGGATGTGCCAAGGAAGGCGCAACGGCCCATGTGTCCATGCGGACTGCACCCATTCTCCACCCCTGCTGTTGAGTATTGTCTCTTTTTCTCATTATGTTTTTCATTGTGTTTTTGTTCTCTCTCTCTCTCTCTTGTTGGAGGTGCAGCCCCTTAGGCGATTGGGCCTTGTGGCCACCCGGGGCGCTACAGAACGGCTGGGGGCCTGCCTGGGAGGGGTGGCAGGTTGAGGATCAGGAAGGTGGATTCCGACCTCGCTCGTCACGCTGTGCGGTCAGGCCGCCTTCTGTTTGCTGACATCGATGTTGTCATACGCCTCGATCATTGCCAGTGCTTGCCGTGGGAAACAGAGTAGCAGCAGCAGCAGCAGCAGCAGCAGCAGCAGCAGCAGCAGCAGCAGCAGCAGCAGCAGCACATGCAGGTTCGCGGAGCAAGGCTCTGGGTGGGCATGGTTGGACGGGTGCTGCTTCTTTCGTGTTTCTGGAGGCTTCCGGACAATTTGTTACACGAAGCGTATCCGTTCTAGCCCCTTCAGGATCGTTGACAGTACGTTGACGGGACAAGAGACGAAGAAATTTATTTAGTGAAACAAAGCAGGCAGACAGGATAAATAGAGAGAGATCCCTGGGAGCATGGGAGTGGCCTTGGAGGGCCCGAAGAGTGGCCTTGGAGGGCCTCTTCGGGTCATACCTGGGGCCCGCTGGGGGGCGAGGGGAGGAGGAGGAGGAGGAGGAGCAGGAGGAGGAGCAGCAGCAGCAGGAGGAGGAGCAGCAGGAGAAAGAGGAGGCTAACCGCCTCTTGGGGCCCTCGTGGGACGCTCTTGGGCCGCTGTTGGGCGCTCTTGGGGCCGTCTTGGGGCCGTCTAGTGGCCCTCTTGGGGCTCTCGTGGGGATGGAAGCCCTGGATGGCATCTTGAAGCCACCATGGAGGCTTTCGATCAAAGTAGGGGGGGCCGATGTTAGCCTCTCCCCCCCTGCCCCCCTTTTGGCCATCATAATCGCATCGTGGGGCCTTCTTGGCGCGCTCGTAGGCCGCTGTTGGGCGCTCTTTGGGTCGTCTGGGGGGGCCTCTTGGGCACATCTTGGGCCTTTCTTGGGCCATCTTGGGGCCATCTTGGGGCCGCAGACGCGCATCGGAAGCGAAACCGCGAGAAGCAATGATCAGTGATTTTCCGTATGTTTGTGAAGGATGTTTATCCTTTTGGGGGGGTCTCGAGGGGGTTCCGAGAGCATTTGGAAACCGTTATGTGGCCCTCGTCGGGCCCTTCGGAGGTATGTCGGAAGCTACCTTGAACCGTCTTCGGCTATCATAAGCCATTTGGGAGGTTCGATTGGAGCATCAGGGTCTCTCTTGGAGCCATCTTGGGCCACCTTGGGCGCTCGGACCGATCGCGCACCCCCCCAAACAAGAAAACCTCAGGGAGTGGCGGGTTCTGGAAGAGGACAGCAAGATATGGTTTGACTACATTGGCCCAAAGGGCTGGTGGGATTTCAGAGGGCCAGAATCGCGCAGTATGAAGCGGTCTGGCGATCGCAAAGCCGCCGATCGTGTAAGGTTGAACGGTCAAAGTGGTGTCAGAAACCAACGCTGGGGTAGCGACGACACGAACTTGCCGTATCTCGTTTCGTTTCCACGCTCGTTGCTAGGTGTTCGCGCATCGCCTCTCTCGCCCGTCGGCCCTCGTGCCCGCCAGGAAGAAGGCCGTTCAGCATGGAGAGGCCATGCGGATCCGCCAGGTCAAGGACAAGCTCGCCAACGTGAGGCGGGACATCAAGGACGTGGCGTTCAAGCTTGGTTTTTTCATTTGCTTCGGTTGGAGACGCAGCGCGTAAGACAGTGTACACTTAGAGCACGGGACATACTCGATCGAATCCGTGAGCTTGTCGAGGCGAGGTCCCGCAACAGGCCACGCCGCGGTCGCAAGACGTTGGATCCTTGATTCAATGGCGCCCTATTACGAACTGGCACGGCCGCGGCGTTGCGGGCCCCTTACGGGACAGCGCTTGATCCGTGTAAATTTAGGGAGGCGATTCGGAGCACACAGTGCTTTACATATCTCAGACTCGGCAGCCCCATCGAGCTTTCGAACTCGAATGCGGGTGATTTCTTCTTGGTGGGTGTTTCTTCATTGCCAGAGGGCCAGGGCCAGAGTCTGGGAGTGCAGTGGGCACCAGACCGTTCGAAGGGATGCAAGATATTTTGTTGTAGGAGGAGGAGGAGGGGTGGATGATTATGATGATGATGATGATGATGATGATGCTGATGATGATGATGATGATGATGATTATGATGATGGTGATGGTGATGATGGTGATGGTGATGATGATGATGGTGATGATGATGATGACGACGATGACGATGACGATGACGATGACGATGATGATGATGATGATGATGATGATGATGATGATGATGATGATGATGATGATGATGATGATGATGACGATGATGATGATGATGAGGAGGAGGAGGAGGAGGAGGAGGAGGAGGAGGAGGAGGAGGGTTGGAGCCAGCTCGACCCTGGCAGGGTTCCCGGGACCGATGTTGAACGGATTTGCTCGGGGCCCATTCAGCGCAGACCCTGGGGCCGCTTCCAAGAGGAGGGTTTCGCGGAGTCCGTCGTTCGCTCGGGCGGTGTTCCGATTAGGTCAGATATCAGAATCGCTTCGCCATCTTATCCTGTGCTACCGCCAGCGCCGTCGCTTATGGCTCATGTTTCTTTCCACTGCCAGCGTGGTGGTATTTCTGTCCAGAGGAAGGATGGACAGGTGTGGTGGACCCCATCACATAAGTTTTATGTAGACGAGCCAAGGTGGTGTCGTTGCCTTCTCTGTATAGACAGACAACAGCACAAACCTGACACCAGCACGCAGGTCCAAAAGGGTTAGGAGCGAACCTCATATGCGGAATGTCATGTGTGTGCATCCATTGCCAGATTGAACAGGTTTCATAATTGGATGTGGAAGTGTTGAATGTGTGTGTGTGTTGTGTGTGCGTGTCTGTGAGTGGGTGGGTGGGGGGGGGTCATGTGTGTGGAGCCAGAGGTGCCCAACCCTGTTTCTTGGTTGACAACTTCACTTGCGACAAGCGCCGATGCCCCTCGCCGAATGCGGGCGGGAGAGGCCGCGGCCGTCACCGCCCTCGCTATTCGGCGCCGTACCCTGAGGCCGACCCCTCCCCCTCAAGAGCTGACCCCTCCCCCTAAAGGGGCGGCGTGCCCTCGACGAAGACAGCACGTGGGCCGTGCCCTTCGGCCGACACCCTGCGCTGTCCCACGTGGTCAACGCCACGCCGTAGGCCGTACAGCCGAGATCCTGGAAAAAGGGCCAATTTGGATTCAGGAGGGGCTATCGTTTTCGGACCGCTCCTTGGATCCAGGCAGGTGCTGGGACCTCTTCGGCTGAGGCTCGCCGTGGTCAGAAAAGTCCATTCGTTCTTTCTTCAGCGTTCCCCATGATGTCACGATGTGTGTGCCCTGAGTCCAGCACACTGCGTTACCCCACAAGGCCAGCGGTCCGTACCTTGACGCCGACACTCTACCCTAAACTACCTCACCCCCAAGCCTGGTGCGTTGAGCCGGACGAGGCATCCCTGCGGCGTCGCGCCTGCTGCCGCCTGGCCTTCGCCACCAGCGCAGGCCTCCGAACAGCCAGTCGCTGGGCGTGCATCTGTTGCTCGCGCGCAAGCTCGTGCTGCTGGGCTTTCACCCTGGCCGTGGCCCGCGCGGTCTCGGTTCCGACCCTCTCGGTCTCGCGCTTGGTGCACGCCGCGCGCCACTACGCGATGGACCCTGCGCAATTGGAACCCTACGGGTGGGAAACCGCCTGCGTTTGTGAGGCCCGACACGTGTGGAACCCTATGTGCGGAACCCTGTGCGCGTGTGTGGTAAATTCTATGTGTGTTAGGTATGTGTGAAACCCCGTGCGCGTAGAACCCCGAAGATGCGTGCAGCCCTATGCGTGAACAACTCTATGTGTGCGTGTTTTGTGTGTGTGTGTGTGTGTGTGTGTGTGTGTGTGTGTGTGTGTGTGTGTGTGTGTGTGTGTGTGGAACCGTGGCGCACTAGATGCGTGCTGCGATTCGCATGAAATTCGAATGGAGCCCCATGCGTGTAAACATGCACGTGGAGCACGTTGTGTGCAAGTCCCTGCTTGCGTGGCACCCCGCGTGTGTGGAAACCTATGCGCATGGAGCCCCGCGTGAGTGAAATCCTATGTGCGTGTGCACCCCTATGTGTGTAGCCGTTTGTGTGTTGCGGGTCCCTGTGCCTGGGGGCAGCGCGGTGGGCTGTCGCGAGGCGCGAGGCGCAGGCGGCTGGAGGCGCGGCCGAGGCCGCCAGACCAGGCTACTGCGACGCAGCCCAGGGTTTGGGCTGCTGCCGTCGGTTTCTCCCTCCCCCCCTTCTCCCTCCCCCCTTCTCCCCCCCCCTCCTCTCCTCCCTGCGTTTCGCCACGGGGTTCGCTTGCGCTTGCAAATGAAACACAAGTGAGTGTGGAACCCACTGTGTGTGTGGAGCCCTCTTTGTGGAACCCTGCGTGTGCAGAGCCGCATGCGCGTGGATGTGCATAATACCCTGTGTGGGACACTATGTGCGGCAACCGCCAGAACCCAGCATACCTGCGAGGGCCGGAGTCTCATGGCGGCAATGGCGAGAAGCCGGATCGCCGATTACCCAATTTTGTCCCGCCTTGGAGGAGAAGCGCCTCCGGCGCGAAGAGGTGGACTTCGAGGCAGTGTTGGCCGGTTGCCCCGAGTTCAAGCTTGGCTGCGATCCCATGGAGTTCAGCGAGATCGGTTCTCCGCCACCCCGTGATCGAATAGCCATGTGTGCCCTCTTATTCCTCGGCCTGGTCCAGCTCCGTTCCAGTCTTCGCCTCCGCGTCTAACCACCTGCCCTTACCAGTTTCTCCTGCTCTTCGGCCTCAACCCCAGTGCCTCTTGTTCCCCCAGCTTGGAGTTGATTCTTGGGCACAGCTGGCATCAAGGGGCGCCCGCTGGATTCAACGCTGCCGCCAGGAAAAGCGGAGCCATCACTCATGACTCAGGTGAAAGCGAGCGACCATCAATCTATCCTACACAATGCCATCTCGCTCCTCCTCGCTTCTCCTCTTCTTCCTCCTCCTCCTCCTCCCCCTCCCCCTCCTCCTCCTATTCCTCTTCCTCTTCCTCCCCCACCCCATCAACCCCCCCCCCATTCCTGCTCGAAGGCGAGCCTGCATTCTGTGATGGGTCGTTCTTTGACGGAGTCCTTCCCGCGGTGAGGTTTGCGGGGTGGGCCACGGTCCTCCAGGACGCAGACCGCCGGTCCAGTGGCGCGCCGCACCAGGCCGTTCCTCCCAGACATGCTCTGGAAGCCTTGGATCCACTGCCATCTTTTTAGAGCGTAACTTTTGCTGCCACTGGCCTTCCGCCGGCTTCGGCCAGCGGAGGCGCCCCTGCTTTGCACATGCCAGCTTCCGCCGCCCTTCGACTCCCTCGGGCCTCGAAGGCGGGGCCCTCTCTGGAGAGCGACGCGCGGAGCGGCCCCGTCGGCGCGCGACGGAGGACACCGTGCCGGTCCAGTGCTGCACGAGACCCCCGAGCGGGCAAGTGCCGCGCGGATCGGTCGGTGCTCGTGCCGAGGGATCGACGTCGAAGTCTGCGCAACGAGCTGATAACCCGCAGGTCGGCGGCCTCGTGCTACCTTTAGGTCGGGCCTGTCCCTCTACGGGAGGGGTATTGCAAGAGAGTCCAAAAATAGTCTGGGGACGATGTTTGGAGTATTTGTTTGACCATTTGGGGGCATTTGCTTGCAGATTTGTTTTAAACATGGTTCGCCCAACATCCCCCTGTAGGGGGACAGGCCCGAGGCCCGACCTAATGCTACCCCGAGCCTTGCAGGAACGGGCTTCTGGGCGGGCGCCTGCCCTTTTCGGACGCGCGCGTGCCGTGGGGCCCACGGCCAGGCGGCCGGGGGCGTGCAGGGAAATCGTGCTGTTTGTTCGGCACGAACGAGATGGGTACGGAAAGGATGGGTACAATGCCCAACAGAAATTGTTGTTCATTTTGAACAGGACTCGCTGTCCACGCCGCCGCGGCCTGTGTCCATTCGAGAGAGAAGGCCGCCTGCCCAACAGGGGCCGCTGTTGGTTTGGGACAACATTCGATGTTGGGCATTACACACATGTTTTCCGTACCCATTTCGCGCGTCCAAATTTGTGACGAAGGGTGGCTCTCAGATCTGGGCGTCGCAAGGCCATCTTGGCAACCGGTTGTTCTGCGTTCTCGGCCCGTGGAGGCCGCTTCCTTGCCCCAGGACCAGCAGCAAATTTATCCTGGGTGAAGTGCGGGGCTCAGGGGAGGGGGCGAGATCTTCAGAATAGAGGAGAGGGGCCACTACAAGGCTGATGCAACTGCCAGGAGAAAGGCGTTCAATGTGTCAGGGCTGGCTCGAAGGGCGCGCACTCCTCGGATGGGGGTGCCGTAAGACGGCACCCCCGGGCTGCAGGGCTGTGGCTCAACTAGCGACAGTCGTGGTCCACCATGCCTTTCGTGATCGCCGCGATGTGTCAGAGTGAGGAGGCCGACTGGTCATGCAATGTCCCCGGGGTGCGCGTGGCTGAAGTGGGGTTCCGCGGTGCGGATTGTTGTGGCCTTCTCTTCCCCTGCTTGAGGGGCTGCACGGAATACTGTATACGTTGCAGGTAAGAAGGCATTCACCCAAGAGGGTCGATCGAAGACGAATCGGGCGGATACCGTGGGTTTGGGCTATTATACGTGCTGAATGTCACGCGAGCAGACAAGAGCAAACAGTATTGAAATGATTGCTGTTGCTGGTGGTGTTGTTGCTGCTGTTGTTGTTGCTGCTGTTGCTGTTGTTGCTGTTGATGTTGCTGTTGAACTCTCACTCGTGAAGAAGATTGTTGGTCTCCCCTTCTGGTGACCATTATATGTTTCAATTGAATGGTTTCCCCAGGGGGTCACACCCTGTTTTTTATCCGGGAAAACCATCGGGCTTTAACTGGATTGTTGGCCCCAGGCTTACAACAACAACAACAACAACAACAACAACAACAACAACAACAACAACAACAACAGCAACGGCTCAGGCCTGATATTTCCTCACAATGTATTCCCAAATCGCGCTCTCGCGCGGGACTTCCTCACAATGTGTATACGAATCGCGCTCTCGCGTGGGATTTCCTCGCAGTTTGTTCAGACGATGCGCCTTCGGCGCTCAGGAATCACCCTCTCGTTTTGGCTTCTGTCATGATTTGCTTGGGGATCACGCTATCGCTCGAAACTTCCTCGCGATTCATGCAGGACCCACGCTTCAGCAACCCGCCTGCTCGACCTGGTCGCCTGTGCTCGCCTTTCCGACCTGCCCGCTATGAGTCTGCCCACCCGATATGCCAGTCTGTTTCTACCACTTGTTTTCCGCTCCTTTCCCCCCTCCTGCTAATTTTTCTCGAGCTCCATTTTTTCCCTTCCCCCTTCCACCCGTCTTGTCTTCCCTTGTTGTAGGGGCTGCACTGCACTAAATGCACGTGGCAGGCAAGGAATATATACCCCCAAGGGGGTACGATCGAAGACGACGAGGGCGCGACGTTACGTCTCAATCAGGTCGTTTCGGGGGCGTGGCCTCTGGATGGTCTGGAGGAGAGTTTGGGGACGGGTCCACTGGCCCTTCCCTTGCGGTCCCAGGAGCTGTGCCTGGGCTGTGCCTTGGGCTGCCTTGGACTCTAGCCGTGGGCGAGAATCGTATCCGTATCCGCGGCCTCGCGAGCCAGGCCCCTCGGCCAAGACCCCGCGGATACGGCACATCTTCTCGCGGATGCCTCGCGCCGAACGTATCCGTGCGACTGCGCATCCGCGGGATCGCTCCCCAGAATCCAAACCGCGAGGGCGTGGACATGGATAAGTTCACCGCTCGTGGCCCGGGGGTTCGGAACAACTCCGGTCTCGGAGGCTCCTGCTTGGGCCCCTCAGACTCGCCCGATGTTGTCCCGCTCCCCGACTCGTCCGAGGCGAAGGCCGCCAACCGCCCATCAGCATCAGCACGGCGTGCGCTCGAGGCAACGAGTGAATCCACAAGCTTCTGAACGCGAGCGACAACCACTCTGCCAAGGCGAAGAGCAAGGGCAAGGGCAAGGCCCAGCCGCCGAAGGACTCGACTTCGCCAGAGCCCAAGCACAATACTTTCGAGGAGGCAAACGCTGCAGCGCTTGCGTGTACGAAACGCCTGCTGTGCAAGGGCGGTTCCAAGGGGCTCCGAGCCTGCACGGGCGAATGGTTCGAGGAAGCGGTTCGCAAGAGAGGTTTCCTGGCGAGGAGCGCCAAGGACCTCCAGAGCCCCGGCGAGCTTCGGGTGCGAGCTCACAAGGAGAGCCAAGAATCAGCATAACCAGGATCTAGAGGAGCGCCAGGGGTCGGCATCACAATCATCATTATCATCATCATAAGCATTATCAACGCCAATATCATCATCCGAGCTGCCAGGCAATTCTTCAATATCCCCTTCTGCACCCCGCGTTTTATTATCCCCGCGGGTTCAAAATCAGGGGCAGTTGGCGAAGCGGTGGAGCCAAAGCGACGGGGTTTGAAGGGCGCGTGCTTTGTCGGTTTCTCTGGAAGGGTCGCTTGCGGCACGGTGAGCACATCCCTCGTTTTGGCGTTCGCCTCGGAGAGGTCGTTGCCCCGCTCGCGGCCGCCCAGGCCAGGTGGGCTGGGCAAGTTGGAGTGGCGGAGGGCGGGCCACCTGAGGCCCTGGCAAATGTTCCACCGTTCCTTGTAGCAGGGTCCGCCTTCGAAGGCGGACCTTGCCGTGACTCTTCGCGGGTTTGGTTGCTCGAGTCGGGCAGAACCAGTGAGTTTGCCTTGGGCCAGCAAGCTCTTGAAAAGAGAAAGAGCGTGTTCTACCGCTGCTGGCGGAAAACCGGGGGGGGTCACTGCCAGTTCGAACCCCTCCCCCCCCCCTCCGGAAAACCAGGGGGGGTCACTACCGGTTCGAGCCCCTCCCCCCCCCAACTCATCATGAAAAGGGGGGGGTCACTATCGGTTTGAACCCCCTCCCTTCCCTCGAAAACGGGGGGGGGTCACTACCGGTTCGATCCCTCCCCCCTCGAAAACCGAGGGGGGTGCGGACAAAGGCGGGGACGGTGGTGGTGAGGACAGTGGTGAGGGGACAGCGGGACAGTGGTGGGGACAGTGGGACAGTGGTGGGGACTGTAGTGGTGGGGACAGTGGTGAGGACAATGGTGGGAACAGTGGGGACAGTGGACAGTGGTGGGGACGGTGGTGGTGGGGACAGTGGTTTGGGGACAAAGGGAGGTGGAAACAGTGGGACAGTGGAGGGTACAGTGGTGGTGGGGACAGTGGTGAAGGCGGTGGCAGGGACGGCGGTGGGACAATGGGACAGAGGTGCAGTGGGGACAGTGGTGGGGACAGTGGGGACAGTGGTGGGAACAGTGGGACAGCTCAGTGGGACAGCGGGGGAGTCAGTGGGACACTGGGGACAGTGGGGATAGTCGGGCAGTGGTTGGGGCCGTGGAGAAACTGGGGAGAGTGGAGCCGTGGTGGGAACAGTGGTGGGGACATTGGGGACAGTGCGACAGTGGTGGGAGCACTGGTGGGGACAGTAGGGACGGTAGTGGAACCAGCGGGGACAGTGGTGGTGAGGACAGTGGTGCTGGGAACAACAGTGGGGGATGTGGCGCGGACGGTGGTAGGGACCGGGAGCCGTTTGCTGGCGGTGAGTGGGGGGGTGGGGAGGGGTTCGAACCGGTAGTGACCCCCCCTCCGGTTTTCGAGGGGGGGGGGGGTTCGAACCGGTTGTGACCCCCCCGGTTTTCGAGAGGGGTGGGGGGGGGGGGAGGGTTTCGAACCGTAGTGACCCCCCCGGTTTTCGAGGGGGAGGGGGGGGGGAGCGGTTAGGGAGGGGGGGGGTTTGCCGGGGAAGGGGGGGGTCCAGCAGGGGGGGGGGGGGGGATTTTCGGAGGGGGGGGGGGAACCCCGGTTTCCGGAGGAAGAGGGGGGGGCAATTTTCCACAGTAAAGCGGCGGTGGATCACGCTCTCTCTGAAAAGAAAGCCGCAGCCAAGGCGAGGCGCGCGGACGCCATTGCCGAACCCGACGAAGAATGCACATCGAGGGAGGGGGTTTGTTGCGTCGCCGACCCCTGGAGTGCTGGTAGAGCGATCGAGAGTGCCAGAAGGGATGCGTTTCGGCTTCGATCGAGCTCGAGACAGTGTGGAAGCGAGGAGGAAGAGACCACGAGACCACGCGACTGGGAACATGCACTACTTTCGGGAACGAGGTCACAGGCGAGATGCGCTTGGAATCACAAGCGCATCCATTGAGCAGGCTGCCAGCACTGCAGCACAACTCTTCACCAAGAGCGTTCGGAGTCCAAGGGCTGGAAGCGCATGTGCGGAAAGCTGCCCGGGAACATCACCAGAGATGGAGACGAGGGAGGGGAGCCGCGAGTCTGATTTGTAGACTTGCCGCGCCCACTTGGGTCTAAGTTGGATGTTCTGCGCTTACGACTGTCACTTATGTGCGTTGTTGCCGTGTCTTGTTCGTCAAACGAACGTTACGACCATAGCCATCGAAGTCCGACCAACTTCGAACAGGGACTCCGAGCGAAGATCGCCCTGACCGTCGCAGACGCCATCAAATTCGCCCAATACGCGACGCAGACGTTCCATGGCGAGGGCAGAGGCCACGGACCATTCAGACCACCAGGGGCCAGAGCGGCAACGAGTCCAGGAACACCAGCGAGCACGAGCCACCACAACCTCCCTGGCCAGGGGGTGGTGGCCGTCGCGGCCCAGGGGGCGAAGGAAATTCTTTCAGCCGGGAAGACAGCGAGGGCATCGCCCCCAGAGGGCCCAATCAGCACCAGAGCAAAAATGATGATAACCAATAAGAATAATAATAATCATAGTTTTCACAAGAATAGTTAAATTCAAGAGACGATTCGAACTAAGCATAATGATGCCAACAATTACGATACGAATACCATTCCAATTAGTAAGACTAAGATTAATAATACTCATACCAATACTAATAACCATAAGAACGAGTATCACAATCATCATAACGATGGCACGAGTATTATTAATACGAATACCAATACGAATAATGCTACTACGTATACTAAGTAATAAGAACATCCCCACGAGAAGTGGCAGAAGTGGCAAACCGAGGCGCTGAACCGTACCAGCCGTGACGTCGAGCAGCATGCAGAGACGGCCCCAAGTTTCGCTGTTGCTCGGTCATGGAGGGCTGCCCTTGCAAAGCGAGTGAAGAAGCAGTTCAAGCTCAACGACAAGACGAATGCCTCCAAGCAAGCCAGGCTGCAGGCACCGCGATGTCCGAGGGCACGAGTTTTCAGTGTGCCTGCCCGAGATCGCCGTGAATATTTTGGCTCAGATCGCGGCGGAGAGCGCCGTGAAGGTTGCATGAATCGAGGGGGTCGCTGGGCAAGCGCTCCCTCGACTGGGGCGGCCTGTCAGCAGGCCGACGTCACGGGCCTCCGTCGACCGCGCCTCAAGGCAGGATCCGTGGCGGAAGGGGGGGGCAAAAGTTACTCTTCCTCCTCCTCCTCCTTTCCGCCTCCTCCTCCTCCTCCTCCTCCCCCTCCGCCTCCTCCTCCTCCTCCTCCGCCTCCTCCTCCTCCTCCTCTCCCTCCTCCTTAGAGTCCAGCTCAATATCAGCAGCATCATCCTCGTGCAGCTGCCCAGGCGCCCGTGACCGTGGCAGCCGGCAATGTTTGCACCAGTTGGTCGTTGCTTTTGCCTTTCCGACGCCCCCTGGGCTCGGGGAGGGGCCTCCGGTTGGTGCTCCTGGTGCATCGCGGCGGCCCCCATCGAGCGCTCGACAATCCGGCTACACCAAGGCGTCCGCAAGACGGCGGCCCATGGTACGCTCTGACTCCAGTGGGGAGGAGAGGGAGGAGGAGGAGGAGGAGGAGGAGGAGGAGGAGGAGGAGTTCTGGTATTGTGTTGGTAATGTATCCCCTACTCCGAATGGCTGCCTGCTTAGTTACTCTGCGCCCTCATGGACACCTTATATATCCACAATTCCTTTTGCATCTCGAACATCCGCACTGGCAGCGGCATTAAGTTGTTATCACTAGCCTAGATCGGCGTTTTCGTGTTTTTTGTATCTCGATGTCTCACTGCACTGGAAGAACGCGAGAACCAAGATGCTCATGTATGGCCAACGTCGAAAGGCGTTCGGATCGGGGGGGCTGTGAGAGTTTTGGGCCCTCTCGGGGCCTTAGGATGCATCCAGGGAGTATGCAGATGCCTCGGAAGGTGGCCTCCGCAGACCTCTGGAGGAGAGGTGGTGGCCCGAGACCTCCCGAGGGCTGCTGTACTGCAAGGGGTTCTCCAAGGGGTGGTATGATCGGACGGGGCTGGCAGAGAGGAAGGGGGGAGCGGAGAGGGGAGGAATGGGGTGGGAGGAGCAGGAACAGAGACGAAAGGGAAAGCGGGGAGGGGAGGAATGGAGCGGCAGAGAGGAAGGGGAGATTGGGGGCAGGGGAGGCCAAACGAACCTCAGCGCAGACGTACCCTGGAGAGGGGGTGGCAGAGAGGAAGGGGAGAGCGGGCAGGGGAGGAATGGGGTGGGAGGAACAGGAATATTAGATGTTCGTTCTGGGGACTTTCCTGGGGGCCAGCCTTATTCGAGTCTACCTCAATTCTAGCTCGACTCCAGTTCGACTCAAGCTCTACTCAAGTTCGACTCAGGGCGACGGACGTTCGACGCAGCATCGACGCAGCATCGACGCAAAGCGTACCTCAGAACAGACGTACCCTGGAGATGGAGCCTCAGTGCCCACCTCGGGTCGCCCATGGGCTGCGCTCTCGCGCCCGACGTGGCATGAGGCGTGACCGCTGCGACACCTCATTGGGGTACGTCGTCCTGGGGCTCCCGGAAGTGGGTGGGAGGAACAGAAAGAGAGACGCGGCAAGGGGAGGCAGAGAAGGTGCAGAGCGGGAGAGGAGGTAGTCGGTCCACTTGTGGACAGGGTCGTGGGCGTGAAAGATGCGCTAGCGGATGGAACCACACACATGGCAAGTCGTTCAGTTGCGGGTTGGTTGGAGTTCGGGCATTGCGATAATGATCATGAATGGTAATTGTGATGGCAATGTTGCGCTTCCCCTCATAACGGTTTGCGCTGCTGAGTGCCATGACCCCGAGGCCGGCTCGGAAGGACCAGGGGAATCGTCAGAGTCCCAGGTGCCCCGAAATTGAAAATGAGTTCTGCCATCACGCCAGAGGCCTGGGCTTCCAAATTGTCATCGTCGTCCTTCCCATGGGCCATTTTGGCCAAGCTGTCCGCACCAATTGCAGCAGCAACTCCTGAGGCCGTCGTCATCGTCGTCGCACCGGTGTTACGAGTCGCTGCCGCTGCGTTGTTGCCCTCCGCAGCCATTAAGGCCTGATTGGCAGGCCCACTGGCGTCATCCCGCCCAGGAAAGCTGGAAACCCTCATCACGTCCAGTGGTCCAGTCCGCCCCCCCTTCCCGTCCACCGCATTCATTGCCCCTGGCCCCCCCCTCGTCGGCGATCGACGCTTCATCGACATCACCACGGCTGCCTCCACCTCCCGCCTCCAGACTCCAGTACGGCTGCCTCCTCTGGACACCAGTGGGGTGAGAGGGGGGCGTGGATCCGAAACTCGGGTCCACAGGCTGGATCGCCATCCGCGCCCCTCCTGGCTTCACGTGGTGTCGGGACGTGGGCAGGGGCATGCTTATCCTCCCCCCCCTCCTCCCTTCCCCTCCCTCCCGCTCCCTCCTCCATCCTGGCTCTCCGCCGCCCCCCCCCCCCTCCCGCGAGGTGGGAGCGGGGAGTGTGGCGAGGGCGGGGAGGGGTTGCAGGCAGGCTCAGACCTGGCTCGGCACGCTCCTCCCACTCCTCCACTCCGCCCCCCCCTCCCCTCCTCCCCTCCCCCTCCCCCTCCGCCGGAGGGTACACCTGTACCAATCCTGGCCAGGCCGATCCTGGGCCCAGGGCCCAGGGTCGGTGTATGGGTGTGCGCTCCCTACCCAGGCCAGGAGAGCGTTTCACAACGATCCAGGGCCCAGGATGAGCTGGGCCAGTAGCCCAGGATGAGCTGGGCCGGGAGCGGTGAAGGGGCACAGTTGGCGTCCCCCTACTCCGCCGTCCCCCGCGGGGGCGCAGAGACGAGAGGGGGGGCGGGGTCGGACCGGCGGGCGCGGTGGGGGTCTCCCGGACACGCCGAGGACAACAGGGCAGGAGCCAGGCGACGCCCCGTGGGGAGAAGAAGAGGCACCTCGACCCTCCCAGCTCCGGACGTCGCGGGGAACACCGCGGAGGGCCGTTTTTTTGTGCTGCCACTCGGTGCGATCGGCATGAGGCGTTCCAGCGGGGCCCTCGCCTTGGAGGGCCGAGGGAGTTGCCGTCTCCTCCTCGGCGGGAGGCGACGGAAGTACAGCGAGGCCGCCTCAGCCGCCGGCGGAAGCCAGCGGGAGTAAAAATCGGCCTCCCAAGAGGTGGCAAGGTTTTTTGGTTCAGGGCTTCCGGAACCCGCCACAGGGGTGCGCACTGAGAGAAGAGGGACGAAAACCGACAGCGGCTCCTACCCAATCTGAACAGGAATCGCCGTCGGTGTCGCCGCGGACTCTGTACGCTCGAGGCAACAAACCGCCCGCCCAACAGCGCCCGTTGGCAAAGTTGGGCAACATTTGCTGCTGGGCACCGAGCCCATGCTTTTCCGCACGCCCCTCGGGCGCGCCAAGTTACGTCTTCGGATTCTGGAGGCCGCTTCCTGGCCCCGGGACCGTTGTCGAAACCACTCGGGGTGAGATGCTGCCCCCCTGGAGAAGGGATCGAGGTCCCGCGGGGGCCGACGTCACGGAAGGGATGCTGCGTCGGATGGGGAGGTACCGATGCCTCTGCCTCGCTTTCGCCCCGCTGGGCCACCAGGAAGGGTGGCCTCGTCGCCGCGGCTGGATTCGCCTCTATGTCCCTGCGCCCATGTCAAAGCACACGCCTCCGTCATCCGATGGATTGATTGATTTTTGGCAACCCGCGGTCCCCAGAGGTCTTGACCACTTTCCCAAGTATAGTTTTGCCGCTCTGGATCCGTTTCTGATGGTCCTGGGGCTCGCGAGTGGCCTGGCCCCAGGGGGCCGACATGAAGGAAAAACGCCAGGATTGAAATATTCAAACTGCCCCAAGTCTAGGCCCAGGAGAGGTGCAGGGAGCATCGGTATCCGCATCTTCTGTTGCCCCGGAGCCAGGGATGGTGGCCGTGGTGGGCCTGGCCTACTGGCCTCTCCTACTGTGGGTGCCCATCCTGGTCGTACAGACCCTGGCCGTGTTCTACATGGGCAGAGGTACACCGCTCATCCCCCTCCCTCCCTCCCCCTCCTTTTCAAGAGCGGCGAGCATATCCGCATCCGCGCCTTCGCGGTCTGGATTCCGGGGCGCGATCCCGCGGATACGCGGTCACCCGGACACGTTCCGCACGGGGCATCCGCGAAAAAGCGCCTTGTACCCGCGGGGTCGTGGCCCATGGCCTTGGCCCGCGAGGCCGCGGATGCGGATATGCTTTTCGCCCACGACCTTCTACTCTGACTCAAGCAGGAGAGGAAATTCGCGCGGTCCTCCGAGGGTCCAGTCCGCGGTTGGCAGAGCTGTTCCTGGCACAAGGGGCCCCCAGTTTCCCGTGCTATTCTGAAGCCCCTGAGGCCCCCTGAGGCCCCCTGGGCCTCTGGAGGCCGTCTGGGCCTCCTGGGCAATCCTGGGGACACCTTGTGCCAGTGACCACATTGCAGGTGCACCCTCGCGTGCCATCGTGCTTCCACCCTCTACGGCCTGCGGTCTGCGGATCAGGCCTCTGAAGGCCGCTCCAAGTCGCCTCCGCGGGCTGGCGCGTGCAGAGAGGAGGAATAGGAGGGAGAGGAGGAGGGGCAGGAGAAGGAGGAGGAGGAGGAGGCGGAGGAGGAGGAGGAGGAGGAGGAGGGACACCTCTGGCCACACCCGCTCACGAAGCTTGCTTTGTCTTTCAGGGGTCGGCCAGCGCTGCTTGCTTCGGGCCTCTCCGCGGATCGGCCCCGTGCCGCTGGGGGCCAGCAGCAGGCAGCCCACGTGTGGAGCGCTCCAGGAAGGGCCTCGCCTTCGAGGCAGCGAAGGAACTGGTAGTAGAGCACGGGAGCCTTGTGAACCCTCGCAGCATTGAGCCTTGTGAATCCTTACAGTGTAGCAGCGTCGGCTGACGCGTGGTAATCGATGATGTGGCGCCCGTTTAGCGTCGACTGGCGTCAATTACCACGATGTTGCGTCGAGGTAGCGTCGATCAGCGTCAATTCGCAAGAGTCAAGAAGCTGGTACAGGAGGTTCCCATGAGTTGCCGAAGGAGATGGAATTGGCACCTCTTCCTCGGCGGAACGCCAGCGGAAGGCAGCAGAAGTCAGAATGGGGCGGCTTCGGCGGCGGAAGGCGGCGGAAGCCAAACCAGCCCCCCCCCAAAAGAGATGGCATCTTATTTGGGGGGCTCAGGGTTTCGGGACGCCGCCACATGCTGCCAGACGTCAGGGGGATTGGGGAAGAGGGGGGCGGCGCAGGCATCCGGCCCTCGAACAAGTTGAGGCGGCCGTTCTTGTTGGTGTTGCTCCGTGTCTGGCACGTGGACGTCTGGGGGCTCGCTTCGGGCCTCGGGACCCTCAGGAAAAGATTCGGGAGGACGAGCGTCACCACCCACCAAACCACCCCAACCCAACCCGAAGGCTTCAATTTGCCCTCCATTTCCAGTAGGGGGGGAGTCGGGGAACATTTGTGAAAACACACATGGAACCCGTACCCCCCCCAACCCGAAATTCGAGTCTTCGGGTTGGGTTGGGGTGGTCTGGTAGGTAGTCAGAGCGGGCCTTGGCTCCCGCGGAGTGGTCGAGAGGTCCAGGGCCCACTCATCGACAAAAGATCGAGGCGCCGGGCGTCCGGGGAGGAGGGGGAGTCGGGGCTCGAGGGACGGGGGTCAATGCACACGGGGGTCCGTCAGAGCGCACTCCCAAGGGAAGAGGGCAAATTCAGTGCGGTCGCGCCATATCTGACCGCCTGAGTGTCCCTTCCGCCCATCCCCTCTCATTGCGTTGAGTCCCATTCTATCCGTAGACGGGGGCACCATCGCCCAGCCATCGCCGATAGGGGCCTCATAGCCTACCAGGCCCAAGAACGTGCGGATTCATTCATCGGGCGCCTGTCACGGATCCATCGACGATATATCGCCGATCAGTCGGCCAGTCTTGCCCTCCTCAGTCCTGATATCGTCAGCTCTATATTTCCCTCCTCAGTCGGCCACTCCTGCCCTGGAGAGGAGGCGGCCGATCTCATTATCCCGGTGGCTGACTGCCCTGAGGTCTGCAGGGAGCCGTGCGCAGCATCACGTCCATCCTCTTCGACACTCCGATCTCCAAGTTCCTCTCGATACTCTGGGTAGTCATGCTCGTTCTGGGCCTCGACTGCGCCCGCAGCATCTTCACCGCGCCGGCTCAGCAGGTCAGCGGGGTCCCCACTTTCGAGGCCTACGCGGCCAAAGAGGGCTTCCTGGTCCTCCTGGTCAACCTTGTCATCATCCCCGCGATCGCGGTGGTGCACACTCTGAATGGGGAGGTGATCAAGGCGGAGAGGGACCGCGAGATGATCAAGAAGCAAGCAGAGCAGCAGTCGCAGTTCACAAAGAACCTCCTCGCGTCGGAGGACAAGAAGGCGACATCGGGCGTGCCGGCGGAGTCCAGCATGCCCGCGGCGAAGGCACCAGAG